CAGCCATTTTAGATTCCTCTACTGAGAATTGTCTATTTAGTTCTGTACCCCACTTTTTAATTGGATTATTTGGTGTTTTGGAGACTTGAGTTCTTTGTAAATTTTGGAGATCAGCCCTCTATCAGATGTGGGGTTGGTGAATATCTTTTCCCAGTCTATCGGCTGCTGTTTTGTCTTATTTACTGTGTCCTTTGCCTTACAGAAGCTTCTTAGTTTCAGGAGGTCTCATTTATTAATTGTAGAACTCAGTGTCTGTGCTACGGATGTAATGTTCAGGAAGCTGTCTCCTGTACCAATTTGTTCAAGGGTATTTCCTACTTTCTCTTCTAATAAGTTCAGTGTAAGCCCAGATCTCTGCCCCATGGTGTCTTCTCTATGTATCTTGATACTCTCTTCTTTCAGGATACCCCAGTTTGTATATGTATGCTTTTAAAAACAACATCATGACTTACTTTGCAGCCATGGGAGAGCTTTCAGATGTGTATTTTACAATTTTATAAGACAATTGTTTAAAAAGAAAAAAAAAGACTACTTTTGCCATTTAACCATAGCTCTCACTGCTTTAAAACTTGGCTGTTATAACCTCTCAATTCACTTAAATGAAAGGGGGAAAAGCCTGTTTGTGTATTATACCAAGCAAATCTGAGGGTTCATCAGTCATAGTGCAGATGTGTTATTCCAAGTGGAGCTGAACTGTGGATAAAGGGCACTTCTATAAAATGGAGATGTAAATATGAGCCTCAGTTAGTTTTGTTTTATTTTTTTTATTGTGGCCTTTGTTTTTGTTTTTGCTTTTACTTCCAGGGCGGCAGTGAAATCCTTCTGGGGAGTGAAAGCCTCAACTACTGAGATACACTCGGAGATGAGTTCTATGAGGTACAAAGATTCGACTTCTCTTGAACAGTCACCAACAGATATGCCTGGACATGAAGATGACGCTTTAAGTGAATGGAATGAATGATGTATGGATGACATATGAGAAACTAAAGACAATTAGAGCATATCAGATTCATTATTATAAAAATAAAGTATATACTGAAATACTTCAGTGATGTTGGATTGAGTTCGCCTCCATGGTCCTAATGCATGTGCAGGCAGGGCTGTTTGTTCAGTTCAGCTCCCTAGTACAATTGCCAAATTTTCTTTGAAATAGTTCTTGGTATTTACTGTTTCAGATAACAGCTTGAGATCACTTATGTAAATGTATATACAAATATTTTTTGATCACTATTCTGATGTGAGGTCATTTGCCTTTTCTGTCTAAATAAGAAAAATATAATTATAGAAGTTCCTTGGAAAGTAAGATTTCTCCAACCTGGGAGAACTCATACTTCATAATCTCTGCAGGGCATGTAACATATAAAACATCCTTTGTAAAACATGAAGTAGTGATAGCAACCAAGACTTGGTGGCTATTGTGTGTTAATCACTGCTCAAAGCAGTTTGTTAGGAAATTTGATTGTCTTTGTATAAATACTTGTAAGAACTAAACAAGTACTTGGAGGTGACTGAGAAGATTTCATGAATTTAATAATTTGTATTTCTCCCAGAAGCAGTGACTTAGAGACTCTATAATGACCAATAATAAGTACCTCATTGTGCTTTGTATGCAGGTGATAATAGAAAGAACACTAACATTTTGTGTTGTAACATTGTGACACAATTCACCCAGCGAACTAGATGTTAAAGCATTAAGAATTATACTCAGTAGTCTTTTCAGGCAATTGTTCTTAAGGCTACATTTTGTTTTTCTTTGTTTAGATGAATTCTACACTAACTTCATTGCTTTATTTTAGAATTTATGATATACACGGGGAAGAAGACATTATAAATGGGCATTTGTGGTATACCTTGCTGTAACACACAGAAAAGGGGTATTATAAAGTTAACCTGTTTATTCTGTTACATGGCAGTTTTATCTGAAAGAAGCAAAGATCAACTGGTTAGAAAATGATTTTTATCTGTTGAGGGAATTCCTTTGGAGACCTTAAGTGAAAAGAGATTGTTTTTATATAATCTCCTAAAAGAAAATTTTACACCACCTACCTCAGACAAATGTTAAACAGCAATCAGCCTTCCAGTTCTTATTTCTGAGTATGTATGGTCTTGCACCTTTAGTAAAGAGGCTAAAAATTCTTGAGTAGTAATTATATCAATCCTTGTTTTAAAGCCAGAATGGCAGTGAGTTCCAACTATATTTCGATGGACATTAGAGTTCAGTTTTGAACAAGACTAGTTGTGCTAAGTGCTGTTTGGGGGCTAATTCTGACTGCCTTCCTCTGGCATGTGGTAGGACAGTATTTCTTAGCTCTTTTGGTTGGATGCCTACTTCTGACCAGTAAGTCATCAGCCCACATTCCAAAGTTCTGGGCCATCCTGAGTCTGGAACACTGATGTGAGAAAACATTTGGAACTCTGATGGCTTGGGTTCCAGAGTGAGGATTATGTGTCACAGGATCTTTGGTAAGCCAACTGTAGATAGTCTACATTATACCTCACTATTTTAAGCCATGAAAATTAATAGGTTATTTGACACAGTAGTTAATAGTAAAACTATTCTGACATATCTCTTTTCTTTAAAATAAGTTGAAGAACCTTCTTTACTGGGGACTTATCAAGTGTGCTGCATACCCCCATGACTCTCCAATGAGGGCACTGATGAACTATTTTCCTGATGTAAGGAAGGAAGATATATATATATATATATATAGATCACTTTCAGGCAAAACTGTCCTAAAAGGTTTGCATGTGTGGAGCCATGGCTCAGTTAATGAATATTAACTTAGTCATTAGTAATGTTTCACACACAGCAAATCTTCAGTAGGCTGTGACAATAATAGCACTTTATATACATCTGCAGTGTTCAGGCCCACTGTTGTGTTTTGAATGAAAAATGTTCCCCAATAGGCTCATATTTGTTCATTGTTTGGGGTTCTGGAACCTTTAGGAGGTGCAGCATTGATGGAGGAAGGGGTTGGACCTTAAGGGTTTATAGCCTTGTCCTGCTTCCTCTTTGAAGCATTGTGAAGTTGAGCTGTAATCAGCCAGCTTCTGGCCCCAAGCTCCTGATACCATGCCTTCCCTGCCATGTGGACTAGCCATCTGGAACTGAAAGCCCAAGCAAACCTTTTGTTAGGTTGTTTTTGGTTATTGTTCTATCACAGTACAAAAGTAACTAATACAGTGGTATTTCTTGAATTCACCCTACTCTCATGACTACTTTTAAGAGGAGCAGGTACTATCATTTTATAATAGTAAATTACTGTGTAATGTAATGTATTAATGATTAAGTCCAAGTGACCAGTAATGCATTATTGTCTCAGTAAGGAAAGACATAAAAGCACTTTGGAATCATTTAACCAAGAATGAGTCCAGATTTGAGTTTTCTACGTCATGCGCCTGTGTCTTCCATCCTCTGTTGCTTGAGTCTGAATCTGTGCTTGCCTGAAAGCTGTCTTGTGAATCTGTTCATCCCTGTTTCTCTGTTTCTACCCCTATGAGTGTCTGTCCTTTGTATGAGCTCTATGTCTGTAGATGGAGGTTCTGTCCAGCCTGGTCCCAGTGCCCTTCTGCTCTAAATAAACACAGAGAGACTTATATTAATTATAAACTGTTTAGCTGGTGGTTCAGGCTTCTTATTGGCTAACTCCCTCAATTATTAACCTATTTTTATTAATTAACTATTTCAACATGGTCTTATCTTACCAGAGAATACTCCAGCATGTTACTCTTTTAGTGGCTACATGGCCTTTCCCTGGCAGCTTCTCTGTGCCTTCCTCTCCCCAGAATTCTCCTTGTCTGGTAGCCCCACCTATACTTTCTGCCTGGCTAGTGGACAATCAGTGTTGTATTCATCAAACAATAAGAGAAACATATATATAGAAGGACATTCCCCATCATATGTCTGAAAATGTGAGTGGAATCTGTTTATGCGTAAGTAGTATGAATAATATAGATAACATTACATGGAGGAGAAATGGAATATTTTACAGAAATCTTTAACAGTATTACACGGGATTAAGACATTGGTTCCAACTGGCTCAGTTAACAAACATAATTGTTTATCAACCAATAACCATAAGTGGGTGCTTTTATCCTTTATAGTAGATTTTGGGACATTGCTTTCAACTTCTGTGTTTGCTGCTTTCAGTAAATGGTACAAACGAATTACTCTAGGTCAGGGGCATAGAAGAGTACATAACTTAATAGAGAGCCACAGGTGAACATTTGGCAGACCTCTGGAAGAGGAGGAGGAAGGATTATGGGAGCCACAGGGACCAATGACACCACAAGAAACCCCACAGAATCAACTAACCTGGCCTCATAGGGACTCACAGAGACAGAACGACTAATATATAAGAGCTTGTATGGGACTGACCTAGGCCTTCAGCACATGTTTTGGTTGTATAGTTTAGTCTTCTTTAGGGGCTTCTAACAGTGAAAGTAGGGGCTGTCTCTGACTGTGTTACCTGCTTTGGGGACCCTTCCCTCCTACTGGGTTACCTAGTCCAGCCTCAATATGAGAGGAGGTACCTAGTCTTACCAAAACTTGATATGCCATGGCTAGCTAATACACATGGGAGGCCTGTCCTTTTCTGAAGAGAAAGGAAGAGGAGTATATGTGCTCCTCATAATACAGCTATGCATTATCTTGGGGTGAAAAAGTTGGTTTCATGGGAAATCTAAGACAAGTAAGGTTGATTTTCAGGTTCTCTTAAAGGCAGGTTAAACAAAGTTTGCATACACAGTAGGCTAGCAGTTGTAAGTCTTAAATGACCTCAGAGTGTATTATCAACTTTGGCTATAAAATCTGACAAAAGTTCCAGTCCCTTAGAATGCAAGAGATATTTTCAGAATATTTCTTTGTCACAGGTTAAAATAATTAGCATGTTTTATATGAAATCAATAATGTACCAAAGAATTCTCCCTTTTCTTTTGGCCTTTTTCATTTACCTAAGTTCTATCCATACTCCCAGTTGTAATACATTGCATTATAGACTACAATACAGAAAATATATTTAAGGAAGCCTGAAATTTTATGTGAAGCAATGTTAGGTGAAAACTCATTTAAAGAAAACTTTATTAAGTCAATTTTACCTTGGTTAAAAGGGAGGAGCACCCAGGAAAAGCAAAGAACAGGACTGAAAAAGCAAAATGCATGTTGAAAGAAGGCTAGTAGAACTAGAATACAGAAAGGAGAACATGTTTGTGGGAGATGTGGCAGAGGTAGCTGAGACCATACATGTACATGACATCATATATGCATAACGAAAATACTGTGTGTACTACAAAATTATATTTCAGTATATAAGAATGCATGTCAGTGATACAATCTCCAAAATATTCTGCTATACTGTACTTAGCCATGCCCTCTTGGAATTTATTCCTACTGGTCTTTTAACAAACTGCTGGTCCTCACTTCATAGGGTAGTTTATATGTTGGCCTGCAGGGAACCATAGAGTTGGCTTGGCTTAGCTGCCTTGAGAGGCATGTGTCATAGGTTTATCAGGTTAGAATCCATGACTCCTGAGGCACAATGTGCCTTCCAGTTCCTAAGAGACTAATGCACTCCCTCAGGCAATAAAGTGTTCAGGACACTTGGTGTTTCTCTGTATGTTCCTTCAGAAGTCAAGGAAGTATGGGAACTTGACAGGACAAGTGGTCTTAGACATTAATCGTGTGTACCCTGTATAGCTTGCAAATGGCATGGTATCCTGGCAACCATAGCTGTACCGATCCTGGAAACTACCATTATATTCTGTTTCTGATAAAGGTATGAAAGTCTTATTGCTCTCAATATAATTGTCACAGCCTGTTGTTCTATGGCCCCTCCAACCTGGCCTGATTTCATTCCTCATGGCCGTATCAGGTAGCATTGGCTTAAGTAAGTGTGGGTGCTTACATTGACCTAACATAGGTTCTTTTAAGTCCTACTGGGAATGAAAAATCCTTATGAGTGA